AGTGAAGCACCTAGACAATCAACTATTATTACACTTGTTTGTCTATTAGAGCTACCACTAGCTAATTTATGAGTAATGTCGCATGATTCTTATTAGTGTTCTTTGTACTGCTGTGTTTATGGATAGAATGTTCTTATCATATTATGTAAAATGGAGTGTTGATGTTTGGCCACCTAATTCCATGATATTTTGTAACTGGTTTTCTGTACCTTAGAACTCAGCCCTTGTTTAGTTTTACCCCAACTTTCAAAAAGTTCTACAGATATACATCGAATGTTTGCCCCGTATAGATCTTAAATGTAGACTAATTGTTTGAAATGCTACGTTTTGAGCCTAATTAGTCCATGTTTGAACACTATTTGCTCCATCAAAATCCAAATTAAAAAACAAGGGCTCAATTCATATAGACCTCATATAGACTTCTAGTTGATGCTACTTGCTTGCCGAGTACTCCATCTGTCTTAAAAAGAGTGTCGGTGCCGGGTTTGTGTTGGTCAAGCTTCTTTTTAACTCTGCGGACGTGCGGAAATCGCACTTTGCAGACGCTCCGAACTTAGGAATTAAATCCAGGTCAAAATCTTCATCGTCCCCTCCAATTCTCTGCAAATCGAAGAACCCTAATAAAGCAGATCAGCAGATGCCATCCAGCTAGTAGCCGGCTACTGTGAAGGTGCATTGCACGGGTTACTCGATGACGTAAGCTTCAAGAGTTGAGAATGGCCTCGGGCCAAAAATGGTGGAGTTTGCTAATTTGAATTCAGCCAAAAAAGGACCCTCCAAAAAGTTGCACGGAGCTCCATTAATAGACGCACGCTTTATTACCTCCCCCGGTCGGTCCCCCTCTCCCCGGCTCCTCGTCCTCCTTCCCGACGAAGTAATCGGCCGGGCCCGACGCGCCGCCGTCGCCCAACCCAGCTCGCCCTCCCCGTCCGGCCGTCCCCCCGCCGTAATGTTAAGGTACGCCCGTAGTTTGCTCTGGCGTCGTCGTCGGCCCTGCGCCCTCTTAGCTTCCTTCCTGCCGGCTCTTGCGCGCGTTAGTTCTCTTCTCGGGACCGCCTCTCCTCGGCGTCGCGTTTGGTCGTCCTGGCTTTGTTGCCTTTGTTTCGTTGAGATGTAGCCTCGCCTGGCCTGGCCTCAAGGGCATTCGGCATATTAAGCTAGTTGCTTGGGCTTTAGCTGAAATTAGGGTGTGATATGAGCTCGTATTTTGTCCATGCCTTTTCTGCCTACACCAATATGTATAATCTACAGCATTATATTATCCACGACGCACACACTTCACAAGATGCTCCTGTTCCATTTCTCTATCTCCTGTCTGGCCGGTAAAAAAATAGTTTGCGCTTTTTACTAGCAATTTTATTACAAAACCTGTTACTTGATAAAATTGGAAAATGTAATTGAAAGTGATTTTCACATCAGGCATGCATTGCTGCAAAATAATTTGTAGTTTGGTGTGCATTAAAATTCAAATTAGGACCTGGCATGACCATGATTACCTGTGTTAGTGAAAATTGATACTGCATATCAGGTGTCTCTATATATGTTTTTGGCCGTATAGTAGTTTGTGTATGTTTTTCTTTGACCAGGCAGGCTCTTCAAGTCTATTTTTTCATTTAGGAAAACTGTGGCCTCTTCTGCTTATTTGAATGATTTTGCATAGGTCTTCAAGCCTTTCATTTCGAAAGTCACGACTCCGGCCTTGTTCATGCCAATTTGCAGTTTGCACTGATATTCCCTTGCGTATTTTCGACAGGTCCTGCGAATCACGGAAATTGGATTGGGGTTTTCAGTTGAATCCATATGCCGCTCCTTTCGTCCCTTCCTCCATGGCTGGCTTTGCAGCAGAGAGGCTCAATCAAACGACTGACTCCGAGAACAACAGGACTGGTAGAACTGATGAATACAATGAGACTACTCCTGACAAGTCTGCCGAGTACCATCTCCCGGACTCGCTTTCTCTGGATTTCTATGCTGAGAGCCTGGCAAAGCTCAACGTCTCCGCCGAGTCTTTCTCCAAAGGGGAGGCTGCTGATAGGGCACTCGACTCATCAGAATATTTGGGGAGTGATTTGGATACTCACCTCCCGGGTGCGGTGTCATATCTCTCCCACATGTTCCCAAATGTGTCTGCTGACTTCATCATCGATGCACTGAAGCTCCAGGAGTTTGACGTTGATCTTACCGTCGATATGCTTTCTCACTTGGTACGTACGTGAACTGTTTTCTTTTTGCCATCTGCATACATTATTTCCTTCATTCCTTCCTCCTAGTCATGCCCATGATAGGAGCATAATGTATTTGCCTGCCAATTCCTATAATCCTATCTCAAGAAACAGCTCCAATTGAAATGCTTCGTGACGATCTTCTTTTCCTGAACTTGTATGTATGTCAGTGTGAAGCTGATGGTTATGATCATTCTGCTGAAGACAAGCGTCATTATCGAGGCATCCAGAAGTCTCCCAAAGGCGCCTTCGCTGCCAACTTGCAAGATAAATGACTGTTCAGCTACACCTTCATCACCAAGATTGGATGTAGCTCCTCTGAAAAAGAGGTTGTATGTACCTACTAGAGTGAGAAACTGTTGCTGCCGCATGAGGATTGATCATCCTGAAGGAGACCCAAGGCGTTCAGTTAAAGGCAAATGCAACAAACACCATGTCTTCCGGGGACGGGGTATTTTGGGTTTTCAAGTCTTCTCCCTCGTGCTTCCACCTACACCATTTTACCGTAAAGTTGTACAGCTTTCATGGTGTACTTTAGGATTGGGATGAGGTCAACGGTCTTGTACTGCATGCAGTCTGTCTTTGTCAACCTAAAATCGCCTGTTAGCGGGGATAGCGACCGTTTGCTTGTCCTGGCTTCTATGCATTCTCTGTGGAGGCGGTATCGGGTACGTTTTATACCCTTTCTATGCATTCTCTGTGGTCAGATGAACTATTCATCTATGTTCTAAATTTTGCCCAACTTTACTTACAAGATTAGTATGAGCTTGAGTGCAAGCAAGAAAGCATCAGCACTGAGTTATTGGAGGGTATATATGCAACTTGTGCTGGACTCAACAAGAATTTCCATGTGTGGACCAAAAGAAAACCCAAGAGTAGGTTCAAGAGATACGTGTGCACTTCTTGCCTAGTTCAGCCTTACTAATAAACATTATTTTCATCCATTTCAAATTATACTAGTTCGTTTTAGTAGTTTAGGCCATATTTGGGACATGAGATTTTTTTCCGATTCCTGTGTTTTCCTATAAAATTAAACCGATTCCTGCGAAATTCATGTGTAAATCATGTGAAATTCATATGTTCCAAACCAGTGCTTAGCTTTCCTTTAATCTAAATTTCTCTAACTTTGACTAATTTTTTGGGAAAATATATTAACATATACAATCAAAACATTTTCTTTTGCTCAAAGAGTTTAATAAAAAAAATTAATAGTGTATATGTTGGTGTATTTCTTTTATAAATTTGATCAAAACTAAAATAAACTTAACTAAATAGAAACTAAAATAAACTATAATAATTTGGAACTGAGTAAAGAGTAACTTTACAATTTGCCTACAACTACGAGACTGTTTGGATCCGTCAATTAAACTTTCGCTGGCTAAATTTAGATGCTAGGGATCCAAACAGCCTAGCTAAAAGACCAGCTAAAGTTTAGCTGAGTTTAACTATTTCAACTCAGCTAAACCCAGCTAAAGTTTAGCTGAGTCTATTAGCTAGAAAATCCAAACACCTTAACTAAAGTTTAGCTAGAATAACTTTTAGCTAGCTAAAATTTATCTTTGAAATTTTAGCTAGCAAAACTTTAGATGGGTGGATCCAAACAGGAACTACAGTACAAGCTCGGAATAGCAAAGTTATTAGAGAGAATTCCTTCGTTACCACTAAAAATCTATAGCAATTCCTTCGTTGCCATCCAAAATTATATATTTCCCTCACTGCCATCTATTTGAACATTTTAATCCTTTCATTGCCATTGCCGTTACATGGTTGGATATTATTTCCCTGGCAGCCATCTATATATATAATTTCTTCCCTTCTCTGCCATTGATGAAACGGAACGGCGTTTCCTGGTTCCCCAGCTAGCCCAGTTCACGGTTTGTCAACCAAACCGTCATCACTGGTTCTATACGGCTTGTGGATTGGATTACTTTAGCACACATTGGTTCAGATTCATTGCAAGTCCGTGGCTGTCCGCCCACCATAGCGAGGTGTATGCGCTAATGTGTGGCCGAGGCTTGGTCGTTGTTGCTGCTGGCCACGTATCACGCCGCGCCGTTGCCTAGAATTTGAAAGAGGAAAACGTGTATCCTGAAAAAACGACGCAAAGCAAGCACTAGCGTCGACTTCGGCGTCCACGCCCGACATTAACCACATCGACGCACGAGCTCCCTGGCCAGTGCTCGCTCCCGAGGCCTCGACCCGTCGCGGACGGCGCCCCGCCCAGACTTGACGCACCGGCGCGGAAAGCGTCTTGCTCTGACGCGGAAGATGCCTCCCCTCAACTCCCCGATGGCCGACACGGAAGACGTGACCCCCGATCGGGCGCCGCCTAGGTCCGGCGCGCCGGCGCAGGGAGCGACGCTGGATCGAATGGATCGGTGACCCGCATGTCCGCCTCGGCGCTTCGACGGTCGGCGTCCGTGCCATCGCCTACAGGTGACCCGAGCGTAGACCCGTCTGACGGCGTCCCGCCATCGCCGCGAGGGCGGGAAGATGGCGTGTCTCTCCCACTACGGAGCGCCCGGCTAAACCGCGCACAACCTCGGCCGGTGCCACGCGCGTGGTCATCGCGGTCCCTGCGTGCCGCTCGGCACTTCGCCCCGCTGTCCGCGTGAGGTCTGCCCGGCACCAAAGCGGCCTCGCCATGCACCGCGATCTTGTCGTGGCCCGCCTTGCGAGCTCCCAGCTTCGCCGCCCGTCTGTAGTCCGCTTCGTGCTGCTCCCCGAGAGTCTGCCCTCCGCCCGCGGCCTCACTGTGAGCCGGCTCGCCCGCTCGCCATGATCGTCGCTTTGCAGCGTGTTCGATCTTTGCTGCCTGGCCATGTCGCTGCCGCCGCTTGCCCGACCTCGGGGTCCGGGGATGGCGGCCCGACCATCGCGTCGTGCTGCGGCGCTCGCCTGCAATGCGACGAGGACGGGGATGACGCGACCGTAACAACGGTAAATGGTGGGGCCCAACTGTCAGCGACTATAACTTAATACTCCCTCCATCCCAAATTGTAAGTCATTCCAAGAATCTTGGAGAGTCAAAGTTTTTCAAGTTTGACCAAATTTATATAACAAAATAATAATATTTATCATACCAACTAAGTATCATTAGATTCTTCATTAGTTATATTTTCATATTATACCTATTTAATGTCATCAATCTTTGTGTTTCTCTCTATAATTTTAGTCAAACTTGAAAAAGTTTGACTCTCCAAGATTCTTGGAATGACTTACAATTTGGGATGGAGGGAGTAGGTCTTAACGGAAATGGCAACTAGGGAAACACAAAAATTATTTAATGGCAGTGAGGGAAATTTGAAAATTTTGATGGCAACAAAGGAAGTGGTATAGTTTTTAGTGACAACGAAGGAATTCTCTCAAGTTATTATAGATAAAATTTATATTTCCTATGTAATCTATATTTCTTATTTAAAAAACTCCACTAACATTTAATCTCTATATGCAAGCTATTCGCGTATTTTACTCCACTAAGTGTCATATTATCCTTTAATAAGTGCTATATCATCTTTTACTAAGTGCACTTACTATTTTCAGTTTACAAACATACAAGACAGTATTGTTGTACTAAATCCGTTCTAAATTATAGTTCGTTTGACTTTTTTTACTCTAAGTTTGATCACTCGTTTTATTTAAAAATTTGTGCAAAATATTATTTTTTTTGTTGTGGCTTGCTTTATTAACAAACGTTCTTCAAGAATGACTTAAATTTGACTATGTTTGTATAATTTTTTTAATAAGACGAGTGATCAAACTTAGGGTCAAAAAAGTCAAACGAATTATAATTTGAAATTGAGGGAGTATTATTTGATTGACCGTTACATTCTTTTATAATTTTTTATATAATATTCTAAAAGTGTTTTATTTGATTTTCCTATTAGCTTATCCATTTTTAGCAGTATCTCTCAGTACTGCATAAATTCAATGGTGAAACAATTCTATTTCTAAAAGAAAAATCCCGCGGTAACAGGCGGGTATTCTTCTAGTAGCAACAAAATCGACAAGCAGGTGGAACAAATCGCGGTGACATGGCGCTGCTGGCGCCTAATCCACTGCCGAGCGGCCTCCGCCTCCGCCTCAAGCGCACCAACGCCACGGTCGCCGCCGCGAGATCCCCTAGTGTCCACGTCCACCCTCTCCCCGACGAGCTCCAGCTGGTCGCGGACATCCGCTCCCCTTACAACCACATCCGCGTTGCCGACGTCTCCCCACGGGCCGCGGGCCACCCGCTCGCCGGCGCTCGCCTCCTCCTCCTCGACGGGCCGGGCAACATCCACTCCCCCTCGCCGCGCCGACCAGCCCCCGCTCACCGCCACCTACCTGGACGCCTTCGCCACGCTCCCGCCTCTCCTCCCGCGGCCGTCCCTCGCGGTCCTCGGCTTCGGCGCCGGCTCCGCCGCGCGCGCGCTGCTCCACTTCTACCCGGACCTCTCCGTGCACGGCTGGGAGCTGGACCCCGCGGTGCTCGCCGTCGCCCGAGACTTCTTCGGCCTCGCGAAGCTGGAGAAGGACCACGCGGCGCGCCTGTCCGTGCACGTCGGCGACGCGCTGGAGTGCCAGGCGCCGCTCGGCGGCGGCTTCGGCGGCGCCGTGGTCGACCTGTTCGCCGGCGGGAGCGTGCTGCCGGAGCTCCAGGAGCCGGACACGTGGCGGCGGCTCGGCGGGATCGTGGCGCGCCGGGGTCGGATGATGGTGAACTGCGGCGGCGCGTGCGTGGAGGCCGAGGAGGAGGGGAGGCACGGCGAGTCGGTCAAGGACGCCACGCTGCGGGCGATGGCCGCGGCGTTCGGGGAGGGGATGGTGTCGGTGATGGACGTGGATGAGAGCTGGGTGGCCATGACAGGGCCGCCGGTGACGGTGCCGGAGGTGGCGGCCGCGTGGAAGGCGCGGCTACCCCCGGAGATGCGGCATTTCGTTGACGCGTGGAGACCGTACAACGGCTAAGTGGCGAATGAATTCAGCTGGCTCAGCTGGGAATTGCTGTCTTTTAATTAAGCAACCATCAGTGGATGGTTGCTTTGTTGCACTCTTTCAGTAAGTGATGAACACAGAGGTTAGGTGTATACTTGTTTCAGTAGCAAGCTTTCAGTCAATTTTGTGGTTGGTTATGGCTGGGTTATCCCCTTGAGATGTTGGAACTAAGGATGATTGGTTGGCTTGCCTTTAAATTATACTTTTAATTGTAAAGGCTCAAACCGAAAGGCCCTCTTTGCGTTGCTGAAAAACCATGACTGAAAGTACTATTTGTTGATTTGTTGTGAGAGAAAAACATTGTTCGTTCGTTGAGATAGTACGGCTACAAGCGAACAGGGCCATAATTTACACCGTGCTTATATAGGTAAGGTTCCCAGAGAACTGGTATTGCTCTGTGGGCTTTAGAGGATGTTACAATGAACTGTTTATTCTGAGATGATCTGTTTGCTAAGTTAAAAACAGATTAGGGACAAGGATAGACAATTCAATTGTCAAATCAGGGATTGAGATTATCAGAGGGGGGTGGATGGATAATCTGATTTCCTGTGAGTTCAATTGTTTTGAACTTATACCGTTAACATAAAAAATGGTTGTATTTAGCTGTTAAGGAAGCACATAAACATGTCATTGTTATGATTTATAAACAAAGTGGAATGGAAAGAATAAACTTATAAGATTATACCTAGAATCATATTCGAATTGGGACCTGGATACGGTGCAGTAGTAACTACTATTGCACGATAAGCAGTAGCAGCATCTCAGCCATCTAAGACTGGCCACAATGTGGGCTTTTGCCGGTGCCAAGAAAGGAGAGAGAGCGTTCAAGCACCAGTGCTTAACGCTGTGGCCGGTGCCCAGTTTTAAAAAAATCTTGGCATCCGATCATGTTGGTTCCTCGATGCTGAGAAGATAAAAAAATATTTTTGCACCGGCCGTTCGTTTCAACCAGCACACTCTTCCTCTTCCACACACTGAGCAGCACGCTGACAACTCTGAACACTTGGGTCCCATATACTGTAATGTAAAGCATCGATGCTCGCACTGTATCCATTTGTGGTTTCTAGCATCGATATGAGCTGTCATACGGAGATGATTTTTCAGCACCGGCAACGCTGTGGCCAGTCTAAGGGACCACCCATGGCTAGGATTAGAGCCCCTTTTTTCTCATTTTTTTCTCCACCATGTGCTATAGGTCTCTCTTTTTTAGGAAAGAACTGAGCACATAAGAGTTGACGCTATTTTTTTTAGCATTGCTCATCACGTGTGAGTCACCAACGGCGCCAGACTCAAGTATGAAAATTACAAAAATATACTATTACGGTGCATATATGTTGAAAATTACGAAAATATACCTGGAACCACTAAATCTCAAAACACATATAACTAATATTAAAGAGCCCAAAACCCGCCTCTATTTTTTCCCTTCAATCTGACCGAATGTTGTTTACTTTAATGGTGACCAATATTATGATTAATTGATGCAAAATGGTCATTTACGATATATGAATTGCTATTTCGTGCACAACTAAGTCAAATAATGAGCAAGGACACTATAGACATTTGGCATCTTTCGTACATTAAAAAAGAACAAAAGTAGCCGTTTTGCCTGTTTCTAGAATGCCTTTAGCTCTTTTAAATAAGTAACTTCTTCGAAAGAACCAGAGGAGCCAGAGCCTTACTAAACATACTCTAACGCAAAGCTCTGTTTCCGAACTTCCGATCTATATAACAATATTGTCAGAGTCAAGTCAAACTTGGTCGGCGAAATGTCGTGTTAGCAACCAGCTCATTTAAAAATTACTCCAACTTTAATCCACTCCTCTGAGCAGAAAATCTCAATTAAACACCAACTCGCTCCGACGTTGCGAATCCATTCCGATATGCTTAGATGCGGTGTTAGAATTTTAGGCATTACTCGACATATTTTAAAAAAGACAATAGCTTCTTAATAGGGGTGGTATGGAAATTAAAAAGGAAAAAAAGTCCATGTTACCTCCCTCAATTTTTATGAAAATTTGTTTTCTCTGTGAACTCTAAAACCGGGTAAACTATCTCCTGAACTTTTAAACATGTTAGTTTTACCTCTGTCCGGTTATAAGTGGTTTTAAAGACGGTTTTGTCTTTTTCTTTTTTATTTATTTTGGCTGAATCTTTAAAAAATCATAGTAAATAAAAAAAATATAAAATGGAAAATCAAATTTTGTTGGACTCCACATGAGTAGTTCCACACACTGAATATATAATACGGTATGTTTTAGTACAAATTTTTTGTTGTAGCTTTATATCTATATTTTTCTATAATTAATTTATAGTTGTAGTTTTTGTGGTCCAACTCTAGTAAAATTTTCATATTCATTGGATCACGTATAACACGCATGAGCTGTCCACACGTGGAGGCCTCACACCTAAAATAGTCCAGTGCCAACAAATACCTACTACATATATCCCAAGATCACAGCTTCAAGGAGACTGAGCGCTAGCTCGGACAGTTTGTTCGCTGGTGTGCAAACCACCGGACGTGAGTTTGATCCCTGGGACTGGGATTGACTCCGTTTCTTACCGGGGCAAGTCCCAAAATAATTCCAATTGTCTCACACGGATGTGCTACAATTGTCATATCTCTCAGCCGTGTTATCTTAGACCTAGATATAGGTTATAGATCTAGCTTGCGCATTAGAAGGTGTGTGTGCATGTGTGGTATGTATGGTGTGAGTCAGTGCGTGAGTTCAATACTACAGCTTATACGCGGAGGTTGAGGCAATAAAAAAAAGAGGTTGAGGCAATAAAAAAAGATCACAGCTTCAGGAGTTCGCCCTCTTCTTCCCCAACCTAGGCCTGATGTATCTCATATGGGGATCTATACTAGCGAGCGCTCTAAGGCTATCCGCTCTAAGACTGTCTCCAACAGCAAGGACATAAACACGAGACCTATTCCATGATTTGAGTCACGTACAGGGAAAATGTCATGCACCTACAACCTTCGTTCTCCAACAGCAAACCCAAAAGAAGACTCCCAGTTTCCTTCGTTCGGTGCCGCCTGCTCCTCTGTCTTCGTCTTACCCACGGTCGACCACCGAGCTGCGAGCTCCGGCGCGAGATCCTGCCAGGCGTGTGGCCCCTTCGCGCGGACATGCTCCGGCAGCGTCCCTGGCGCGGGCCCCTTCGTCCGCCGCCTCGCGAGCGCCACCGCGGGCAAGCACCACCGTGGGTGAGAGCCACGCGAGCGAGCCACCTCCGTCCCACCGCGAGCTACACCTGCGAGATCCGGCCGCCCTCTCCTCTCCTCGCCGCTTCGGCGGCTCCCCGCAGCAGCCCTGCCTGGCCGCGCCGGCCATGTCTCCGCGGACCCGCCTGGGGCTTGCTTCGCCGAGCCGGCCACGCCTCGTCTCGGGCCCACCACTACGGCATCAGAGATTTGCGTCATCTCTCTCGAGACGCTTATTTGCGTTTCGGTTCGGCTGGTATGCAAAATGCGCCCTCTCTTCGGATCTTCCGTTGGAGCGTGTTTTTTTACCCAAAACGCTGTAAACGAACTATTTTGCGTTCGCCGTTGGAGACAGTCTAAGGAGCAAGCAGGCCGCTGCTGCCATTCCTGCCGCTTGTTCCATTCGCGGCGACCGGTGACCACACCACCGAAACCCACAGCCCATGGGAACAAAAACGGCGACAATGACGAAGGGCGCCACGGTTGGAGTCGGGCCGGCTCCCGAGCGGCGGCCGGCCATGGATTCGCGCCTCCCCGGGGCCACCCCTCTGTTCGCCCCGCCGCACCGCGTCGGATTGCGGACATTTCTATGGGCGACGGTGCTACGGTGGCGAGGGCTGGGGTTGGGACCGCGGGGGCAGGGTCTCAGCGGCGGGTTCTGGTCGTGGGCATGGCCGAGCAACGCGGGATCTGAGCCGCCATTGAGGATTTTTTTGAGCTTTTGGTTGCGAATATTTCGTTTTGGTACGCGCTCTACCTCCTACACTCCTGCTTGTCCTTCTCGTCCTCGCCGCCATCATCGTGCCTTTGAATGCTAGATTGCATTCTTTCCTCCTCCACTCCTCGTCCTTTCCCCGAACCCTAGATCGAATCGAGGCTGTGCGGGCTCCCATTCTCTAGAGCGGCCGTCGCTTTAGGTGACCATCCCTACAGTGCCGCCTCGTCGCCGTTCCGCCTGGAATCGGTGTCGATAGGGGCTGGGAACCGTGCGGAGCCGTTTGAAAGTCTCTTTTGACCATCTTGGAAGAATCGAATGAAGGCAGCGCAGTGGAAGTCGTAGGCGTAATGGACATGATGATTTTGTTCTCCTGTCACTGGGGCTTTTACATTTTTACCATTATTAAGATTGGCGCTCATCCAATTATCACTCTTAGAATGGCACTTACAACTTTAGCACATGAGAGAAGTTTGAGTTTCTAATTTACCACATTTATGCATGTGGCAAGCCACGGCAGCTCGACACGCTGGCGCCCAGTCAGTAGGGGCGGGTAAAATGTCATCGCTGCCCCTGCCCATTTTCTTCATTACGCCGCATCCCACCTGCTCATTTCGTCCCTCGCTCATATCGTCCCCATCCCACTCACCGCCGCCAACGCTTTCTTCCCCCACGCCACCGCCACCTCCTTGTCCCCTCCCGCCATCACTACGCCACGGTGACCGCTTCTGGTGAGCGGGACCCCTGGTGAGCACATTGAAGGTATGTGGCCTTACTCCCCCTTTGCACCCAGGTCCCGTGTCCATTAGGGTTTAGGGTTAGGGTTCATGGACGTTGACAAGTCATCCTCGGTTGATTGTTTCGTAGGCTTGTGATGTAGTGGGAGAGGTGGTGTCAACCCGTGTCACAATGGCTAGCAGCAGTGATTGCTGGTCGTAGAGGGCGGAGTCGTCCAGCGCCAGTAGGGCGTTGAGGAGGCAGGAACAAGGCGGGAGCTCCGTGCGCGCGCATGTTGTGGCGTATCCGGTCGGTAAAGAAACTGGGCTTCCT